GAAAAAAGAGAAATAATGCGGCTCCAGACATTTTGTGCTCTAAATCTGCCCTCCCCCCGCCCTCCCCCCGCTATCTAATTAGCGTGGCGACGGCAGCGAAGGGCTTGGGCGAGTTGGAGGAAAGTTTGCACGGGGGAAACTTTGTGCTCAGCGAGCGGGGAGGGGCGGTTGGGGGGGGGGGGGGGGGGGGGGGGGGGGGGGGGGGGGGGGGGGGGTGCACGGCGCGGGCACTACGTGTGCGGAGCGCTGTGCGGAATGACAGCCGGCGTCGGTCGGGTTGGCAAAGCGGAGAGCTCCGCGATGAACCACAACGCCGAGTGGTGCGGGAGCGGCCCCGGGCGCTGGGGGCGGCAGGGATGCGCGGTGCGGGCTGTGCCCCGCGTCCGCCTGATTCGATCCAGATGCGCGGCCCCCTCCCCCCGGACCGCCGCGCTGTGGGGTTTACGCGTCCTGAAAAGGCGACCGGTGTAACCTGTGGAATTTGTAATGCAAATAAAAGCCCGTGGGAGCTGGGGCAGAACAAATCGGCATTTATAGAGTGGGAAAGATTTAATGGCTTTGAAACCAGCGCGAGATTTTTCATTTTTATTTTTTATTTTTATTAATAATCATGACGTCGCTTGGGAAAGGTTTACTTATTATTATTATTATTGTTTAACGTCTGAAACGCGGCGATGCGAAGTGCTTACAGGAAAAACAGATTACAAGATTAACATCTGTTAACACGATCGTTTATCTCCAGCCAAAAATAGGTCAGTCCTTTCTTAAGGAAACGCGCTCGTCTCCCGCACTATTCCATAACGAAATTAGGGCCGGGGAGCCCCGCAACGAGAAGCGGCCGAGCCCCGCTCCGCCTCGACCTGTGCCAAAAATCCGGAATTGGGGGAGCGCCGGGATGGGCGTAAGGTCACAGTCCCTTTTTGGGGACTCTCTGCTGCTCCTCCTCCTCCTCCTCGTCCCGCCCCCCGCTCGCCCCGGGCCCGGCTCCCGGCGGGCAGCGAACTCTGGGGGCGAGCGACGAAGTTTCCTCTACGGGGAGGGGCTCGGGGGCGGCCCGGCCGGGGCGGGGGGAGATCGGGGTCTGGGTCTAAGGGTTGGGGGGGGGGGAAGCTCCGCTCGGCCCCGCCCGCATCCGACCCCGCCCCACCGGGGCGGCCCCAGCGCCTGGCGCCCGCCCCCGGCCCCGCCCGGCCCCGCTGCTCCTCGGGGGGGGGGAGCCGCGGTGAGGTGCGAGCCGGTGTCGGGTGGTGGGGGACTGGAAGAGAGAGACGTGCGGACAGCAGCCCATCGGGGGTCCCCCTCGCTGCCTTGCCGCCGTTTGTATGTCACGATATCACGCTGCCTGCGCTGAACGAGTTAACAGCGAGGGGGTTTGTCATTAACTCGACGTGGCAACCGGTATTTGGTTGCTTCCCCCACCACTAAAAAAAAAAAAAAAAAAAAAAAAGCATAAATTTGTGCCGAAGCTGAATGGCAAAACGTGGGTTGCTTTTGAGGAGCGTGTTTTTCAAGCTCTGCTGTCGGATTTGTGCCCCCCTCCCCATGTAAGTGTGGGACGATTGATAGAAGGGAGTTTTATTTTGTTCGGTGTGTCTCTGTTGCCCTGTGCTGCCGGCTGTCACTGCATGTGGGCTGGGAGGATGGCACTGCACGTGGGGCGGGGGGAGGCATTTCGGGGGGCAGGGATGGGGGCTGCGCTGAGGCAGGGGCTGAGCCCTGTGCAGCAGTAGTGGGTGGGCTGCTCGGTGTGACTGCCTCTGTGCTCGCCTTCACCACCGCCTGGTGTGGAACGCTCTCAGATTGCATTGGTGATTTGTGTTTGGGCATCACTGGGAGACCTTTAGCACCCACTGATGGTGAAGAGATGCTCCGTTGGTGATAAGTCATAAAGCCGCTGTGGATAAGGCAGCATTACTCTCCCGTGCTATTAGTTGAATATGTAGGGATAATACAAATGGGGGCAAGGGGAAGGCAATGTTAAACATCAGTGAGAATAATGTTGTTTTAAAGGAAGGAGTGATGTATCAGAAGATTATTCATAATCTGGGCTCCTACCTGACCTTCTCAATTGCTGGACATGACCAAAACTTCAGCATTTTTCCAGTGCTTCAGTGAGCTGATGGATGCCCCATCCCTGGAGATGCTCAAGGTCAGGCTGGGCAGGGCTCTGAGCAAACCTGATGTAGCTGTAGGTGTCCCTCTTCATTGTAGGGGAGTCAGACTAGGTGACTTTTCAAGTGCCCTTCCAACTCAACCGTTCTGTGATTCTCTGAAACCAATCTGCACCAAGGGCTGCTCGCAGTCCTTCCATAAATATGGGTGGCTGTTGCTCTACGTCACAGAAAGGAAAACAGTTTACATCACTAACATGAAAGCTGCCTATTGTTATTTGCTGGTGACCTCAGGAGCAGTGTCGCTGGCCGGGATGGAGCAACAGTGGTGACATTTAACTTCTGTGGATTAAAGTTTTCCTGTGGCAGTGACTAATGGCTCTGCTTTAAAAATGAGGTGCATCTCATGTTTTCACAGTTGGTCACAGTATCATGCTGTCACCAGGGTTTAATAATGTCAGTTATCAGTGTTAAAGGCCTCATTGGAGAGGTGAAGAGGGTTATGCCATCTTCTTGAACCTCTGCCTGTTGGGCTGCTCTGCTTCAAAATGCAGCTTGATGTGGGTGCTTGCATAGCGATACCAAAGGGTCGAGAGAATAGCCAGATGGGCAAGGTAGTCAAAAAGTGCTTTGCACATTGCCCTGTGGGCAGTTGGATTATTTTGTAAGGTCTTTGTGTGCTGCTGAGTTCTGCAGTTAGCAGTGGTTATCTGCGATACTGCCTTGTGAGTTACATTGAGATCCCATCGAATGAAGGGGGTGGGAGGGGTGGGATCTATTTTTAGCGTGGCCCAAACCTATTGAAATCGTTAACAGCTTTGGAAGCCCTCAGTTCTGTAAGTACTGAAATTCATGCTCCGCCAAGCGCTTCTTTGGGAATACATACATGCTGTATGCAGAATAAGCAAATGGGTGAGCCTTTGTGAGATCAGCAACAAAGTGTGCAAAGAGTACTCAAACTGGAAAGCTGGGTTGGACCGTGTTATTTCTTAAAGTCATCAAAATAGAAAGCTGAAACTCAAAGTGATTGCGTTTTGCAGGAAGTAACTTGTCTGAGCTTGCTAATTTCACAGGGAAGATGAGCCTGCTTAAAGGTGTGAGACACGCGGATGGCTTTGTAGATAGACGCCTTTCCAGCCAGAACGGGCATTGGGTGTCTGCACAGAAAGCTGAGGGAAGGGACAGCTGTTTTTCCTCACTGTGCGGTGTTCCTCCTTGGGTAGGGGCATGCACAGCCTTCCCACAAATGGGCTGGTTGCTGTCCCCAGTGAGCATGCTCGCCCCTCCCTGTGACTGCTGGGAGCTGCGTGAGGGCTCTGAGAGTGGAATTACAGTTTCTGTGTTTCAGTGATGGAGCCTGAAATCCTTCAGAGTTCTTTTTTAATTATTATTATTCTTTCCTGTAGCCATAAATGTTGCCCGGACAACTAATCACTGCATTGCCAAAAAAAAAAAAAAAAAAAAACCCAAAACATTATTTTGTGAGATATCTGCAATAGAAATATTTGAACTTTGGAGCAACAGTGCTATTTGAAAGCAGACGTCTTACATGCTGCAAATGTTTATGCATCTCAGAGCAAGGGTAAAGCTGTTGTGACTCGGTCACTGAAGGCAGAATTCTGCTGTTTGGTTCCCTGGTGTAACTGTGGGCACCGCCAGCACAGTGCTTGAGAGTTGGGAGGACATAATGAAGAGCACTTTTCTTGTTTGCAACTCATATGTGAAAAGCAAATGTGACTTCCTTTCCTCTTCCAGCAGAAGTGATTCTAGTAAATATTATGGTAGCGAGCCTGCATTAAAGCACGCTGCTGGCGTATGGTCCAGGTAGTTACATTGCCTTAGCTTTCATTAGGATGATGACTTCATTGCCAGTGTTTACTTTCATTACCCAACTGTTAGTCAGCGAATGTTCTGTCTCTTGATCTGCTGAACCTGCTTTGCTATTTGAAGCTGTTGAGCTTTGTTATTTTTGATGCAATGGTTACTCAACGTTGATTATTCATTTTTTGATGTTGTTTACGTCTTTGTTATCTATAGAGCCTCATCAGTGTAGTTAGACGTTTCATGTTCACAGTTTCTCCTTGCATTCCAGAAACTGCATTACAGCAATACTTCTTATGCAAACAGACTCAGGGAATTAAGCGTATGTCCAGAGATTGAATTAGCTGGTGGCTCTCAGCTTGCTGCCCAACTGTGTGTTGCCCCGTGAGTTTAGCAGGTATTTTACAGTGGTAGCGTTTGGGTGCTGCTTGTTTGCTGCTCCTGGCTTGTGCACTAACATTTTGAGTAGGGAACGTGGCTGTCTGTGTGGTGCTGAGGACAGGTGTTTGGACTTGTTGATGAAGATGATGCTCTAAGCTGCCATAAGCCTGATGGAGGCACACAGCTTCTGCTGGGGATTCTCAATTGCTTACGTTCTGAGAACTGTTTAAAAGCCCTTTTGCTAACCATTCATTGAAACCATTGCTTATCGAAAAGAGTTCCATTTGTATCAGCAGGATACTGTGTAGCTGAGCACTCCTACAAACCCCACTCTGCTGTAGGCAGTGGTGGAAGCCATAGGGA